GAGGAAGTGTGTCTCAGTGCTTTGAATTGTCGCAGATATACATATGTATTTATACTGACCTTCTACTAGCTGTTCAATATTGGTGATTTTCTTTGACCCATCCAGGGTGTATATGGTCCGGACGCCCTGAGGCAGGTTGACATTGTCGGATAGGGAACGGGTCAGGTCCGCCAGCAGGGCGTCAAAGGTCCGGAACCTGTCAGCAGAAATGGCGTACACAATCCCATTGAAGTACCGGTCTCCATTGCGGTAGAAGCGGACTTTCTTGGCTCTCTTCTCCGCACTCAGTGTCTTCAGGGTCCGGGTCCGGTACAGACTGCAGTGGGCGCTGTGTGTGGGACTCAGCACACCGTTCATCTTCGCACTAGAGCGGCTGTGCCTCTGACCTTTGTCCCGCTCGTCAAAATGCTCCATCTCCATTTCGCTACCGAGGCTCACAAGTACGGCAGTACTGTCTGGGAAACAACAAAGAGGAGGGGAGGGGAGGGAGAAGATAAAGTTTGAACTACCGAATAACAAATGAAAAGGAGGTGCCGAAAATGAATATCCGACCCAAGAGAGGTTCGGAAGGCTGATATAACCGCCAGCCGGTATCCGTCGCTGGCGCACTGTCTCAAAATACCCCACTAATGACAGATTAAGTGCTCTTAAGCCGAGCAGTGGACAGTGCGCTTCTTGACGACCCACGCTGTGTGTGACAGTGCGCCCGAGCTACTGTGACGCGCAGATGGCTGGAGAGCCTCGGTCACGAATCGATAATAACCTATTAATTTGGCCCTATAAATATTCAGAAGAGCCGCAGCTGGACCAACATCCCTCCTGGGCCGGAGTTAAAACACAACATCGCGGTCCCGTTATAGATGCCCATCATTAAAATATGCCAGGTTATATTCTGCAGTCCCAAAAAGACTCGTTAAAAACATATAAAAGTGTGTTTCAAGACTTTGCAGCAAACCACAAATAAAACAGTTAATCACGCTGGTATGAGATGATAATAATAATTTTAAAAAGCAACTGCTCAGGCTTACCTACGCGAGCAATTAACGCTTCTGTGACGGTCACCTCCAGTCTGACTGACGCTTTAATTCCCAGCAGATGTGAGAAAGGAGTTCAGTGCGCTCGTCCCTGACACTGGACGCCGGTGATATGTGATGCTGTCCTGGCTGCAGTGTGTGAGCCCCCCCTGTGCGTCTCTTTGTTGTCCGGTTGATGTGCCCCACCACACCAAACCAGTGAATACGTGCGTGTGTGTGCTTGTGTGCGCGTTGTGAGAAAGCAAGCAGCAGAGGCTGGACTGGAAATGGACTTGGTAGCAGCTGCTTCCCCTCCCATTCTCTTTTCTGTTTTTTTTTTTTACACCCACCCTTTCTCTCTCCTCCTCCACGTCACTCTGTCGTGATTTTCATTCGGCGCCCCCACCCCTCATTAGGATGCAACCACACGCTTCCCACCCGTGCTGGGGAGGATGTTGGTCCTGCACCCCCACCCAGCCCCTCAAAAGCACGCGTCAACTGAGGTGGGTGGATGGTGGTGTCAACCCTGCTTTGTGGCATTTTAAATCATCACTGTGGTGCTCAGTAAAGAGAGAAAACAGATATTTTTCTGTGATTATTTTCCAGTTTAATTCCCTCCTCATATTTCACATAAATCATTATTTATAGCTTAACTGATCGTAAATGCAGCATTGTGTTTAACCCACATTTGCACGTGGGTTGTTATGTAATACTTTAACTCTATACACAAACCCACATGCTGTATTTCTTCTACAATGACTTACTGTTGTTACTGTATGAAGACTTTTTTTTCTTGGGAATTAAATGTATGGATGAGCTCAAAAGAGGTTCAGTTACACTGAATTCATCAACGCAGAGAACTGAGAGATGTAAATGATGCTTCTGTCTCGTTTCTTCCTATGAGCTTTGAAATTTGAGGTTAAGACAGGAACCAGTCTCACAGTGCAGGAAGAGATAAAGACTGCTGACCTACATCATAGACTCCAGAGACTACAAAAATCCCACTCCACCACTCACTAATGAACCACACACATGCATGTGCGTATTATCTAACATTTATATGTGCCAGTGATGATGATAAAAAAAAAGAAGAACAAGAAGGTGCCGTCAATTTCTCACATCTTTGCCATTCGTTTATTTTATTTACAGCGTTATGTTTTGATGATGTCACTTTCATCAGTAATAATACAGAGTCTTTCTCTGTGTCTTTGTGTGTGATAATGAAACACCACAGCCTACCATGCTAGCCATGATCATCCCTTTATGACCACAGTGCTCCCATATTCTCATGGCTGCTTCCATCAGAAGATGGGTCCTTCCAGCAGGATAACATACCGTGTCCCAAAGCTCAGATCAACACAAACTGGTGTCTTGAACATGACAATGAGTTCAGTGCACTCGAATGTCCTCAACAGTCACCAGATTTCAGTCCACTAAAGTTCCTTTGGGATGTAGTTTAAGGAGGTTATGATGGATGTGCAACCAATAAATCTGCAGCAACTGTGTGACACTATCCTGTCAATATGGTACAAACTCTCAGAGGAACGTGTCCAGCACCTTACTGAATTTGTGCCACAACAAAATAAGCATTGTTGAGAGCAATGTGTGTAAATGTGGGTCCAACCCAGTACTTGTACCTGATAAAGTGGCCTGTGAGTGCCCATGAATTCTTTACTGTGTGAGAGTGAAAGACAAATAAATACATTTAAAATAAAATAATTTAAAAAAACACACCCACAATTTTTTTTTCTATTTTGGGGACTTGGTGTGCGTCACAAACAGAGAGGAGATGACACTCTCAGACATAATGTGATTTTCAAAAGAGAGTCAGATATGTCAGATTTATAAATTTCCACATTTTGTTCAAATAACAGATGAGAGCGCAGAGAAATGGATTTTGGTGTTGTGGTAGACTTAAAACAAACATATCTGATATTAGAACTGACAAAATGTGAGGTACACTGTGAAAGCAGCTCTGTTTGTCTTAGGATCATACAGTATCTTGCAGTTAGCAAGCAGCATTTCATAGTAATCAAGCATTTCAAACATATATTGCTTCCATCTACATTTGTGTCACCAGTGCCACTGACTAATTACAGACCGGGTGGAACAAAATCAGAATGAAATAAGCTTGGAAATACTGCATCCATACTAATTAGGTAAGTTCTTCATTTCTTCAATTCTTCATAGAGGCCAACTCTTGAAGCGTAGCACAGCATGACTCGTAGCAGATATAAAGAGAAGTGTGTGTGGTTAAGACTTTTAAGCCTCCATGTGGGCATGTATGATTTTATTTGTATATTATGTATGTAAGTGGACAGTTTTACAATCATAAAAACATATTTTTATGCCAAGCTCCTTTTCTCAGCAATGTGCATAACGGCCACGTTTTCATTCAAATGTTAGAAAAACACAAAAAGGCACGATGTAGAACACTTCTGCAAATACACTTCTGTGAGGTTATGATAAAGAAGCTGAAGCTCAATTGGATGGATTTATGGACTGATAACTGATATTGAAGTCTCATCTGGAGTAATTAAAACCTGCTTTCAATTTACAACCTGTGATTAATGTATTTTGATGCAATGCTTTCACACTACACAGAAGGGTGTGTGAACACGTGTGCTACCACAAAAGTGCGCGAGCCAAATGAATTAGCATAGTAATGCAGCAGTATTGTGAATCATTGTGTTTTGAGAGTCGCTGTTGTGATTTGTCATTCTCTTTCACCTGTCAGGAGAAGACATTTGGGTAGTTCCTCTGTGGCTGTGTGATTCATCGGCAAGACGCATTGAGTTGTAATAAATAAAAAAAGCTTATACGTGAAATTGAGATGGCAGAAGACTAGAGACTAGTTAGAAGGAGAGAGTGGTACACTGCAAATGTGCTCAGTGTTTCATGAGGCGATGTGAACTGGCTATGTCTAAATGAAGTCATGAATCTAAGATAAACAAGCTGTTGTGGATCACACTTAGAAGCGTACACCAAGTCAGCCATATCAAAAAGTAAATACCAGCTCAATAAACAAATTCCTCCCGTGGAAATTGAAGCATTAGGACTCGAGCTGATCAGGCGATACTTTTCAGAGGATTTACAGGGACAGGACAAAAAAATTAAATTATACAATTTATGCCTATGGCACCATGTTGTCTGCTTTGTGATTTTGTTTTAATTCAGTGTAATTCAGCAAGGCTGAGAAGAACTGAAACCATCCTACACGTTTCACAAATACAACTGAAGCAGTACTCCTGGTGTTTGTTTTTTTTGTTGTTTTTTTCCTATTCACTACTTCATCTCATATCGATAGAGTTTTCTGACACCCACATTTGAAAAGGTGGTCAGTAGGTGGGACATGGGTGACTGTTTGCTCTGTGGAGAAACTACAAACAGCGAGAGCGGTGATGTGGTGCTGCATACGTAATGTGAATCGTAGGAGGTGTTAAAAAAAACTGCAGTGACACAAGAAATGTTCAACTTGGCAGGCTTGTAGCACACTAGACTCAAAGCCTTCAGCTTGTTTCCTGTCCTGAAATAAAGGCCTTAGCCACAAAAGTTTAAAAACCCATATTTGAAACATTTCTCTTTTTAAATAATTCATCTCCTTGTTCAAAGAAACACGTAAGAAAACACTAAGCCCACACTTTGTTGTGAATGTAGCCTTTTATAGCTTGACATCAGGTTAATACTGTGGTTACCTTATCAAATGAAAAAAAATACAAAAATAAAAACACAATACCAACTGCAGCAAATGGACAGAAAAAACGAAATACATTCACATTCATGTTATTAAGTATGCCAGCTGAACTGCTTGTTAACACAAATATTTAATCAGCCAATCACACGACAGCAATTCAAAGCATTTAGGCATATGGACATGATCAAATTGATCTGCCAAAGTTCAAATTGAGCATCAGAATGGGGAATAAAGGTGGTTTCAGTGACTTTGAATGTGGCCTGGTTGTTTGTGCCAGAGAGTATTTCAGAAACTGCCGATCTACTGGGATCTTCCCACACAACCATCTTGAGAGTTTACAGAGAATGGTCAGAAAAAGAGAAAATATCCAATGAGTAGCAGTTCTCAGGTTGAAAATGTCTTGTTGATGTCAAAGGTCCGAGGAGAATGGACTTCTTCAAATTGAAGGCAACAGTAACTCAAATAACCAGAAGAGCATCTCTGAACACGCAACACGTTGAACCTTGAAGCAAACGAGCTACTGAAGTAGAATACCGCACCTCAGTATGGTATTACTTGCTATTTTTGGCCAGGATGTGTCCTTCAATACGCATATTAAACAAATATGTAGGACTGCTTCCTTGCATTTGCACAACATCTCTAAAATTAGAAACATCCTGTGTCAGAGTAATGCTGGAAAAACAAATTCTAGGCTGGACTACTGTAATTCATTATTATCAGGATGTCCTAAAAACTCCCTAAAAAGCCTTTGGCTGATCTAAAATGCTGCATCAAGAGTCCTGACAAGAGAAAGACAGTATTTCTCCCATTTTAGGTCCTCTTAATTGGCTCCATGTTAAATCCCGAATCAAATCTAAAGGTCCATCTCATATCAAAGACCTCATAGTACCACATAGAGCACTCAGACTGCTATCTTACTTGCGGTTCTGATTTTGTTTTGGTGACAGACACCCTCTCTGATTTTAGGATCAGGCCTGGTGACCCTGAATCCTCCCACTGCAGCACTGCAATAGGCTTAGGTTGCTGGGGGATTCCCATGATTCACTGAGCAATTCTCATTCATTCACCTGTTCTTGCTCATTATGTGTTTATCCACCACTTTACTTTTAATCATTAGTCATTATTAATCTCTGGCTCTTCTCCACACCGTGTCTTTTGTCCTGTCTCCCTCCCCTCACCCCCAACCAGCTGCTGCAGGTGGTTGCCCCTCCCTCAAAATTGGTTCTGATGGGGGTTCCTTCTGATTGTTTGGGTTTTCTCTGTATTACTGTGGGCTCTCAACCTTACAATATAAAGTGCCTTGTGATGACTGAGAACTATATAAATCAAATTTAACTGAATCGAAAAAGGGCTCACAAAAATTGGACGACAGAAGATAGGAAAAATGTCGTCTGGCAAGATGAGTCTTGCCACTGAAACATTTAGCTGGCAGCATCAGAATTTGGTATAAACAATTTGAAAGCATGGATCCATCATACTTTTTGTCAGCAGTTCAGGCTGCTGGAGGTGGTGTAATGGTGTGAGAGATATTTTCTTGGCACACGTTGGGTCAATTAGTATCAGCGCTGTATTGTTTAAACACCACAGCCTGCCTGAGTGTTGTTGCTAATAATCTGTTTATGACCACTGTGTACCTATCTTCTGATGGCTGCTTGCAGCAGGACACTGCATCATGTCACAAAGCTCAAATCACCTCAAATTTTACTCAAATGTCTTCAACAATCACCAGATCTCAATCCAGTACAGCAACGAGTTGTGGTGAAATGGGATATTTAGATCATGGATGTGCAGCCAACAAATGTACAGCCACTGCATGATGCAAAAAGGACCAAAATCTGTGAGGAATTATTCTAGCAGGTTGTTGAATCAATACCATAAAGAATTGTGGCAGCTCTTAAAGAAAAAGGAGGTCCAGCTGAGTACTGGACAGTACAAAGTGTACCTAATTAAGTGGCTGGTTAGTGTAGAAACTGCAGTATTTCAACATAATCAGTCGCAATGTGAACTAAAGCATAACCAAAAGCAACATGACTAAGTTTGGGTTACAGATCGTGCTTCGGGTTGTGCTTAAGCGTGGGTAACCTGCTTTTCCTTTGTAATTTCTTCTCTCCTTTTCTCTCTGCTATTCTTCCACCATCACCTCCTCCTCTTTCTTTCACAAAGGCCTCGCCACCATCTTCTTCTCCTCCCTCTTTTCCTTTCTTAGAATCAGCCTCTGCCTTCCTGCCAGTCTGCTTCCCTCTAAGCAACAGGAGATGAAAGGGAGAAAAGTACAATTTATATCTACCAAAATTGCTTTGATTAAAACAACAATGTCAGTGGCTTTATCTAACAGTCATTATGTCAATAATAGCCTTAGAAAATGTCAGAATCTATTTATTTATTTACAGCATGAATTGTTTGTCAAGCATGAATACACAGTTAAGGAGTTGAGGGAAAACTGATTTCAGTGACACATGTATTGCTTCCTCCCAAATTAATAAGTGAAATCAGAATTAAGCCAAACACCATAAAAATAAAAACCTTTGAGTGAAGCTCATTCTGCATTCATTCTATAAAGCATGTTATTGCGCTGCAGTTTATGTTATTTTGTCCATAATCTGTGGGCCTTGTGCTTCACAGACCTCATTTGTTTGCTCTCTGGTGCCCTCTGTGGCTGTGCAAAGTACTGTCTTCTTTGAGCTTCATGGGTAGATGACAGCTGTAGGAGAAGAGAACCGATTAGTAATTCAAGTCCACTCTAGACCAGGAGTGTCAAACAAAAGGTCCGTGGGCAGGAATTGGCCCAGTAAAGACTCAAATCTGGCTCACTGGAAGGCTTTGAAAAATGTGAAGAAGTGCATAGATTTTGAACTTTTAACTTTATTTTCATCAGTTTTACAGCTGGGCAAGCAATGAGCTACCAGAACCTTTTTCTGTAATTTTACACATTATTATGAAGAAAAACGTAAATGCACCATTAAACTGACATTTTTGTACATTAAAGACATCTCAGTGATTAAATCTTCAGTTAAATGTACTTTTCTGGTCTGGCCCACTTAAGATCAGAGTGTGCTATATGTGGCCCATGATGTAAAATGAGTTTGACATCCCTGCTGTAGACACATGATGTAAAGCTGCAGTAACTGTGACCTATGGTCTCTAAAACACAGTTTCACTTCAGCTTGCGCTCTGCAGAAACCTGTTTTGTTGCAACATACAGAGGAAAGTCCTTGACTTCCTTTTTTGCCTGAGCAGACTGACCTGTTATATAACAGGAGAATAAATGAGAGCTGCATGAAAAAAGCAGAAACACAGTATGCAGAGTATGTCATTAGAAGTATAACACTTACTGTAACACTTACCAGAGCATGTGTTTAGCAGTCAAGGATTAGTCGTTAACGGGAATTTGCTTAAGATTGTGACTGCTTACCTTAGCAATTTCTGACAGGTATGCCCGCCTCTCATCATTGGTTTTATGAAAAGCCTGAAATTTGGAAAAAACAGCAAGCTATACCGTCACAAATTTGTATTCATGAGCCACGCTTGTTCTATCAGGCAATAATCTATCTGCTCGTGGGTACAATGTGTGTATGTTTGTGTGTGCACTTCTCAAGTCTTCAATGTTAATTAGCAAAAGGGATTACTGACTGCACGTGTCGTTTGCTAAACCAGCATTCAGCGAATATCTCTCTCTTTGTTGAGCAGAACAATAAACAAAACTAAATCTTTCTCAATCCACTGCTAATGGTGGCTACTCACAAGTAAACTATTTATTACCTGGAAAAAACTAAAGCTGCTTGTCTAAGAAATTAAAAAAAACAAAACATAAGTAGAACAGCAGACGTTGTGACCTCAAACAATCCCTCTCACTGTTCTATGTCAAAAGGGACAGCTAGGAGTCACACCTTTCCTTCTTGTTCAATTTGAAGATGACAATCCATTAGCTGACTCTGGAGGTCAGATTTCTCCCCGGTCAGGAGCTTCAGACGTTGTCTCAGTGTTTCCTGTGCCAAAGCGTTCCCGTTAATTAGAAACAAATCACGACAAAGAGGCCACAGAGTACGAGGGTGTCACGCTGCTGAATTACCAATCAGAATTGCACTGTGCTGCCTGACGGGATCAAACAATAGCAGCATCGTTAATGCAGAAAACACGAGTACAAAAATGGACTGAGCTCATACGTATTTTAATAACCATATAAACACATTAGCCCTGTGAAATGGTAAGATTTATAGCCCAGAAAAGACCAGTAAGACCTTTGCAATTTTCTAGGTTTGGAACAGTCTGCTTCTTTTCATTGTGCACCTGAGAGGAGAGTGTTTTAAGGTTGCAATACTTGAAATCTATGAGTACCACTCTCTGAATATCAGTCTGATGTCTTCGGATCAGCCAAGTGTTCTTTTCTGCTTGGTTAGATCACATTTTTTTTCTTCCTAATCATTAATTGTGTTAGAGTTGTATGCCACTAAGAGGATGCATTTGAGGCACTGAGATCACTAATCAGAAATATTCTTAGCCTCATTCTTTAGAGCTTTAGACATAGTAGCATGCTCTTGTATTGCTTACTTTACCAGAACACTTTCATTTACCTCCATATTAACAGTATCGTGATAACATTCCTCTCACATGCTCACTCTCTCATACTGTCATGCTCAGTTTGTCTAAAGACTTCCAGTATGCAATATTGTTTCCTTGGTTACACTAATAAGCATCTGTTAGCACTGCTCTAAGAAATACACACATATTTAGACTGTATTGTGCAACCTTTGGTGTGCCTTAAAGTATTGTAATTAGTGTGTATTACTCTCCCATGGTTTGTAATCCTGTGATTACAGCGCTGTGATTAAACTCTGGCTTATTCATCCTGCATCAGCAGGAGAATAGAGAGCAGCTGGCCAAACAGTTCTGCCTGTGCTGTCCACTCTCTTTAACCGATTCTGCATCTCTGGCTCTATCTTGTGGCGCGTGCTTCTGTCTTACACTTGCAGCTCCCTCTCGCTTTGTCAAACTGTCCTTGGAAAAAAAATATCAAATTTAACAAAACTGATAAAGACAAACCCTCAGTGGAAAATGAACATTTGCGCTCACCACTGGCATGTCCTCATACGACCGAATAGAAGCCAGTCGGTCTGCAAAAAAAAAGCAAGAGCATTTGAGTATTATGTGTGTATGCATAATACTGAAAAAAAAAACTTCTCGAGATGGGTGGAAGTATTCCATCTTGTCTTATTTATTGCACTAAATGGAAAAAGAGAGTTTATTTGAAAAATAAATATTTTCCTCCCAAGTTGCCTATTTTACACGAGCAACATCATCATCACAAATGCTTCATGTATTGGAAAAGTTGAGCTCATATATTTAAAAGAGTTTTTGCAGATGACACTACTCTTGATCTGGAGAAAGATAACCACACTATACACAGAGGTATAGTGTTGTTACTTACAAACACTTGTGAAAAAACTGCAACATAATGAATGTGCTTTCACAGTAAAGTTTTTTGAAAGCCTGAGAACTTACCCACAGGGTTTCCTCTTATGTCTTCCAGTCTCTCACGGATGAGTGAGATCTGCCGTTCCAGCTGCCCATTTAGCTCTACCTGTGTCTCATACCTTGTCCTCCACTCATTTCCTGATACATCAGCAGAAACATAGAAAACCATCATAATATAGTCCTTTTGAGGACTGAAGACATTACCGACAACAAAAAGAGAACCATGTCTGACCTTTATTTTTTTTTTCTGGAGGTCCTAATGTAATATCATGTGGTAAACAGTACTCAAGCTAACATACATTTAAACACATACACTCACTAGACAGTTTATTACACCTGTTCAAGCGCTCTTTAGCACGGATATTTAGTCAACCAATTGACCAACCAATTCTACCAGTCACTTTAATTTTGCTTACCTTCCCCATCAACACTGTGCAGTCTTTCTTGGAGTTCACTCGTGGTACTCCGCAGATCAGACACTGACTCTTCAAGCATTTCTCTACGACCAAGAACTAAATTATACTATTCTTGCAGTGTGTAAGTTAACATTTATTTAAACAAACAAAAAAGGTCTTTCTGTTGTTATTTCAGACTTACTTCATCCCCCTCTCCTTTTCCAGTTCTACCTGCAGCCGTGCCAACGCGTATTTACAGTCCTCGCTAGCTTTAGCCATGTTTCTGAAAAAAATCTAAGCTTTGTTTGGGTTTCTACGGAAACCGCCGTTTCCGGTGTTGTGCCAAAAAGTGATCGCGTGCCAAAAAATGATATCCAGTGTTTTTTGTGTTTTTTATGTGGAATATCTTTACGTATCTTGGTAGAGAGACCTCCGTGAACAGGGTTTACAAAGGGGTTATATATCAAATCATAAAATTAGATGTTTTTTTAAGTATCTTTATAACTCCCTCTATTGTACTTACATTATAACCAACCCGGTCCATTTTGTCCACTTAAAGTATGTTTACAGAACTATTGTTATATTTGTTGCAATATCTGCTATCCTCTTGGCCAGATTACTCTTAAAAACACGTTTTTAATATCAACCAGATTTTTATAACTGGAAAAATTAAGGATATATAGAAGTCACTGCCAAAAACAGACGCTTCTACCTTGTTACACGAATGTTGTTTGTGGCTCAAGATGACTTGATATCCTCCACGAGGGATACATGTGACATATGTTTCACATATTATAGACCAACAAGTTATTCATAGTTTAAATACGTGCAGTTTTTGGCAGACGACCTTTTTTTTTTTGGCACAGCTTATCAGGAAACGTCGACAAGGGCGCAGGAGTTTTTGGTTTGTTGCTTTTCTGTTTTCCTGACAGACATTTTATAAATTCATCTCTTGCTTAAATGCGCCTAAAAACGTTTAATCACATTAGTAAAAGAATACATACATTCAAGGCTGAAGACTATCTGTACATATAACATGAATAGCTTAATATCTGTATATAAATGAAACACAGACTTAAATAACTTAAAATTAGAAGCAAAACTCCATTCAGTGTTAAATTAATTCTAGTATGTTCACATGGACATGACAAAATATAGCAAAGAACTGAAAGGTCTATTTTTCATAAGATCCCTATCAAAGATAAAACATGCAGGAAGGCATTAAGATGCACTGGAAATCTATTTTTTCTTCTCTTCTTCCTTGTTCTTCTGTACATCTTTTGCCTCAGCCTCATCCTCTTGTACTTCCTTCTGCAACTTTTTCTCTTCATTTGATTTTGCGGCCAATTCCTTGGCCGTGCATTTGCCGGCCTTCTTGAAAAAGGCTTTGATGCCTACATTATCGATGTTGTTTGCAGTCACGCCAATGTTGATCACCGACTGGAGACCAGTGTCTGTGGCTTCGCCTGCATTGTTGCCGTACCTTCACCACAATTAATGTGGTGAGGTTACAGAAATGGTGGTAGAGTTGTGTGATGGAAGAAAATTTAATGAGCATGTGAATTGAAATCTGGGGCAAGTTTGTTTACTACAGTCATTCACATAAAAAAGACAAAAGAATTAGGAAAACACAGTCATATCATTATTTATAGCTGTTTATTAACAACAAACTATGGAAAATATCTACAGATAAATAGTATGAAGAGCATAAGCATCACCACCCAGCACAAGCTGACATGTAACAGTAACATGGACAGACCCAGAAAGACACCTGATATTTATATTGTGTCTACACAGAAGCCACAGCTCAAACAGAACATTAGCCCAGTAGCACCAACTCCAGGGATGTATTTGTCTACACAGAAGGTGTTCAGACATATCACTGAGTGTAGGTCACCTATGTTTTCAAAGCCATTACTGTTCTTTGAATAACACACAGAGGGAATTAGACACGAAGCATAAAAGCAGTGTTGCATTTATGGGGCTAGAGCAAAGGAAACACCCAATCTGTTACGTATCCTGTTTAGGCAAGGTTTTAAATTACAAAGAGTCAAAACAGAAACCAAAACACATACTTTCTGTGTCTGACATGTATGACTAAGAAATGCCATTTTGATTAAGTTAGTTCCGCGTTATGTTGTTGTATTTATCTTGTTGACAGTTTACTGCTGTGTGCATGAAAGGGTTGAGCAGGTACACGTGTTAGTTTACAAGCCTTTTCCTTTAGTCCGCTGTGCAGTCATATGTTTCTGGACAAGTTTAAAAGATTCTCTAAGCCCCTAAATCTGAAAAGAAATAGGTGTGAAAAGCAGGTCAGAGCACCACCATCCCAAGAAGAAAGAGGCAAAGTAGGTAAGAATCAGACTGGTTTCTGATCCAGCTTGGTACTGATGTTTAAAATGACCAAACAGGTTCAGAAACAAGATGGAAACAAAAGATAACATTAATCCACTCATGATACTAAAGCATGAATTAATTAAAATATATGAACTTACTTGTAAGTGACAGTTGAGACCGTCTCTGCTGCCACACTTTTCCCAACAAGTTTTGCTCCAGTCTCCAGACTGGACCAAATGGTAGCCAAACCTAGTTCAAAATATCACCGATTTTAGAAACCTTATACTTTAGAACTTTAATGTGATAGTTAGTGCTAGTGATGATATGAGAATTGTATCAGTCTATGCACAATTTTTTAACTGATTAACATTTAGTGTCTTGAAAAAACATCTGCCCTCTCCTTGAGTTTTTGCATATTTGTCACGCAGGTGTTGTTTCAGATCATCAATCAAATTTTAATATTGGACAAAGATAAGTAAATGCCCTCTAAACCTAATAACTGGTTCTGTTAGCTTTAAGTTCAGACTTTCACTATGGCACTTCAAGACATTTATTTGGGGGGTTTTAATCATTCAGACGTGGACTTGCTGGTGAGTTTCAGGTCACTGTCCTGCTGCATAACTCAAACACAGTTCTGCTTCAGGATGTGAACTGATGGCCTGATATTCTCCTTCAAGATTTTCTAATACAGAGCATAATTGATTTCCATCAAGTTCTCCAGGTCCTGAAGCATCAAACCAGTCTCCAGACCATCACACTACCACCACCATGTTTGACTAATAGTATGATCTTCTTTTTACTAATGCTATGTTAGCTTTATGGCAGACAAGAGGATTCAAACCCTCCAAAAAATTGTCTCATCAATTCACAGAATATTTTTCCAAAAGTCTTGAGAATCATCAGGATGTTTTTTTTTTTTGGTAAATGTGAAACAAGTCCACTCATTTCAGTACTTTTTTTTTACTGCACTGTAACCTTGTTGTGAACATCCTGAAGTCTTGTACATACCATGCACAGTGCTGACCGCTACAAACTTGGCTCCATCCATTTTGGAAGCTTGGCCGTCTTCTTTCTTCTTCAAAGCTTCTGGAACCAGTTTTGCACCATGTTTCTTCACATGAGGTGCCATCTTTTCTGCCAGTTTTTCTGCCACTGTGCCTACACCATTCACTAAAGATACAGAAAGGTAATCATTATTATTTTGGAAGTAGAGTTCAGAGATTCCATGACTTAAAAACATGATGTCTTGGATTATTTCAAAGTAGTGCTCACCCAAGAACTGGCTGACTCGAACAGCACCCCCAGTGGCCTTTCTGGCCATCTCCAGACGTTTGGTGGTACTGGGGCTGACCTCTGAAGGAGTCTCTTCAGGTGTGAGTTGGTCTCGAATCTTGGCTGCTCCTTTGTGAATGGCCCTACCAGTAGCTTCTGCTCCTTTTATCAGTGAATCACTCAACCGAAGCGCTCCTATGGAGATATATTTGAGATAGTGAATGTACAACAGCAAAGAAACTGTCATTTAAAAAATTTCTAATAAAACTATATGAAAGCTATTTCAACAACATTTTCTTTGAAGCACTGAAGGGCATTACAAAGATAAACAACACCCACTAGTGGGCATTTTTTTATACAGAGGGATGTCTAATGTATAAGAATTCAATACAACACTTTGAAGGGATATATACAAGTTATTTTTTTCCCCTTCATTAGGACTCTTGCTTATAAACTCACCTGTCAAGATTCCTTGACCCATCTTCTCACTCCATCCAGGAAGTGGTAGTTTTTCCTGCTCTCCTGCTGATGTAGTCGGTTCTACTTGCTCTTTTGTGGGATTAAGGGGGACTTTCGTACTCAAGTTGACTACCTCTGACTCTGTGCCCTCTGGACCCTGTTAAGTCAAGGGACAAAAACAGTGGGTGGGTTGCTTTAAAAAAAAAAAAAAAAAGTACGCCCAAACAGAGTTGGCATATTTTTTTACCTACAACATGACATAACCACTTCATTCCTCCTGTGTCAAAGAAGTGTCAAAGAAAAATGTGTTTCTAGTATATCTAGTGTAACAACTTAAACCAGCCACAACATGAGTTTTCAGTTTCCACAAAAAGGTTCAATTAATGCTTTTACTAAGACAACTCACTAAGACACTGAGTTTGTTTTGCATCGTTTCCAGTTATTAAATCAGGGCTTGTTTAAATGCATGGACACAATATAACAAACTGCTTTGAATGTAGAATTTCACAAGGCTTTTAATTCAGTTTGACAGTTTTGGGTAGTTTTACAGCTAACCTTTGTGATAGAGACAATAAGACAGGTAAAAATGGAGAGATAAAATCATTACACCCTCACATACCCAATGATCATTTTTGGGCACAAATAAATAGCAGACCTCAAAAAGCTTCATCTTCCCTGTACTAGTTAGCAAATTGACAGTATATGTATGTATAAAATTTCCAAGGCGCCATCAGGAGCTACTACCTACAAGGTCTTTCTGTTTCCAAACCAGGAGAAACATCCTATAAAAATTGCACCAAAGCTCCGCTCCAACACATACACACCCTTGCATTTGTTTCCTAAAGGAAGTAAAAGCTGACCTGGATCCTGAATTCAGCAAGCTGTGACAGGAGGTCCTGAAAAGTCTGCAGGTCTGCAGGAGGCAGTTCAGAAGACAACACTATACCCGCATAGCACCCTGGCATTTCTGCCAAGGAGTCAGGGAACATAAAGATCCCGGAGTTAGCCAGCAGCACTGGGGTGTCTTTTGTCAGTGGGTACATCCAATCGCATACCTGGAAAACACAATGACATTAAAATATGTAGGTGATGAATGTTAAGAGTCCTTGAAATTAGATCCACATCTGCTGTTTATAACAGAAACCTGAAATCTTTAATATGACACAGAGAGTGAGAAATGACAACATCTGCTGAGTGTTTGTTTCCATGAGGGGGAATATGTCCCATATGCAATTTATTTCATCAAATAACTTCACTGGAAGATATTATAAGATTTGGTTTGAAGGGTTTCCCAAGGATTTGTGCTTTCTTTTTCTCTTTTGAGCATAAAACTGTACTCTCATTTCCAAGTATTTACAATTTCCTCTAGTCTGTTTATAGACACGTTGTAGGATTTAAGGATTCAGGATTAATGTCACTTCTCAACTGAGGCAAAATACAGACACTTGCTGCATCGTACCACTGGTATGCCGGCTGATAACATGACCCCTGTGAGGGCACAGGACACTGAACAGCAATACAACAGAAGCGCAGAGTCATCTGTTAATGGGACCATTGTCTTGGCCCAAAACAAAGCAAGGACAGAATACAGGAGCAGCCTACCAGCCTGGTCGGGTGGGAAACAAGAGTCATGGGTTGCAGTGCAGTTTACAGCACAGCATAATACAGGCTTTGTAAAGGTGCCAGAATAGATTGGTATTTTATATAAACTCAATACAAAAGCCATCACACAGAAGGTTGCCAGAAAGCACAAAGTAAAAAGGATATGAATGGATATAAAGTAGATAAAATCACACTGTTGCACAGGAAAGATTAAGCAACGAATATCTGCTCTATAGATGAACAAGCTATAATAAGTCTCAAATGAAACAGTCTAGTTTTCTGTTAAATGAAAACTAGACTGTTATTCATTTAAGAGTCTAATAAATAATAAGCATTTGTACTTCAGCAACCAATTTCATCTGCAACATTGCTGTTTCAGTGTAACAACAATGATGGGATTGCAAGCTGAGGGTGAAGCATTTGGGCAATCTATCAATTGGTGGCATGATTAAAACTTAATATGTAACTATTTTAATATTTTTTTTTAAAAATGTTAAAGGCCTTTTTTCAGAAAAGAAATACATCTAATCCACCATTTGTTGCTAAAAAAAAAAAGGTGTAAGAAATCAGTTAACAACACTGCCTTTTTAGCATTCAGTTCCAACATTTTGTAGACACACATACTTATTGTTGAACTAAACATATCCATAAATTGCAGTCTACAAAAAAACTTAAGACTTTATAATACCATAATTTACTAATAAAAGTGGCACCTTTTAATTTTCTCACACTACATTACTATAAAAAGTAAGTATAAATTACATAAACCTTGCATATAGCATAAATTATAATATGAAACATGAGTCCCACACTGTCTTGTTCGACTTGTACATAAAAAAATACATTTAAAAGGTGTATTTATTATTGTAGGGAACTTCTCTTGTGTTTTAAGTGGTTAAGGAATGTGTCAAAAACACGTCATCATTTGTAAGAGGAACATTTCTTTGACTCAGAGTTATGAAAGGCTTCTCAAACAGAAGAAACAATTCCCCTGAGGTCACACCTGCTTGCTCTTCAGGACACACGCCCAAAATAAAAATGCTTTTCTAAAATACACACTCTCACAGGTTAACATACACTTAACAATAAATATACTTACATGTAAAAACACTGCAGGTTTTTCAGCAGGGGAATCCTGCTGACTGTTCACCACAATGATGCGAAGGTAGCCTGGAGAGGAGAGTGAGCTGACTTGCCCGTTTGGTGCCACAAAAAACAGCTGCACCCCGGAAGGGATGCACAGCAGTTCAGTTCCATTTTCTCCTGCTACTGCTGCAGTCTGTCTTCCTGGACAAAAGCCACCTTCAACAGGAGCATAAGCCAGGATACGGTGCCCATCTGTGGGCTGTGGTGTGTATGCTGGAGGCTGCTCTGCTGGACTGGCCATGGCTATAGTTTTTGAAACCACTGCAGGGAGTGTGTCTGGAGCAGGAGGGGTCGCAGGACTGACAGGGACTGTGTTGGGGGTTGGGACAATGTTGTGGGTGGTAGCAGGTATGGTGGGGTAGAGATGGTGGACAGAGTTTTGGGGAGGCTGGCCGTTAGGTGCCAGGTCTGGATAAAGTTGGGGAACAGAAAGATCCTTCAACAGCTGGTCTCTCTGGTTTGCTGTTATAGTAAGCTGAGATGTTTCCAGGTCAGAAAGGTGGTTCTCAATTGTCTTTAAAGTATCCCTCATCTTCTGTTGAAGCCGCCGGGCTGTGTCCCAGTTCGCTCCCTGCTGCCGCTGCCCTCCAGTGGGAACCTCCAGTCCCTGAGTGAGGTGCAGCCGACCCTTCCTGTAATACTCGAGGGCCTCGGCTCTTTTCTCTGCCTCTTCAGCAGCCAGTCCACGACTCAAAGAATGAAACGCCAGCTCATACTGGTCCCTGATGAGCAGTAATTCAGCAGGTTCACCCATTGCCTACCACTGAGGAAAGGGCGCAAGAAAACTAGAGAGGAGATAATGAAAGCTTGTTAGCTCTCTTCTGTGTGTGTATAGTGTATAGTACCTGTTCTAGAAAGAAAATGTAGTCAGTGGCACTAATTCAGATCTTACGTACTCTGTGACAGCAGCGTTTATGAGTTACGTGAGAAAAATCTCAGCAATGTAACTGTTATTGGCAGCTGTTGCCAGCAGAGAGGTTAAACGGCAGGTTTTACCTGAACAACAAGACCTGCGTGCGAGCTTTCTAAAGCTTTCCCACACATCACTGGGAGACTACTAGGAAACTGAACTTCAATTACTGCCAAAAAAAAAAGAAAATGCTTCAAAGAGTCGTTATTTGAATCTTCAAGTGTTCTACTGACATTTAGGTTTGAAAATCCCCTCCTCATATCAGTTTTCTCTTAACTCTGCGGCGTCTTCTCGCGCTCCACCAGCCTCGCGCATCAAAGTAACAGGTGTTGTGCCAAAAAGTGATTGTCTGCCAGAAACTGATTGCCGTCCGCGGGAGCGCGCGCAGCTGCTTAAAGCTGCAGCGCCCGGATTACTTGCGTTGCCAGCTACTTCCGTGCAACTGATATAACGTGGGGGGGAAAACCCAAACACATTTATGCCTTTGTTATTAGGCAAAGGTATGCATTTATGGAGCTTTAACGTTTCTTGTAACCGAATTATGACGCTATCAGAAGGTTGCTTTCAGTGTGTAGCGCAGTCACGAATGACTACACGCATCACGATGGAATAATTAATGCCTACAGGTTTAGTATGTCTACTCTCGTTGTTCATATTTGTTATAAGACTGTCGAATAGTAGTTAAAACAATAAAGACCTATTGTGCCAGTATCACCATGACTCTTTCTTGTTTGTGCAGAATAACGACTGAGAACATGGCATTTTAGCGCTACCAAAAAGTGATTGTGGCCTATAACTTGTCACTGAAACAATATTTCTGCTTCAAACTTGTTGGATATATTCCAAAAGGGTTACATGTGATATATTATATCCCAAAACCTCTCCAAGAACTGCTGAATAACTTGTACAGGAACAATAACACTGATAATATGCCATTTTCAACCTGCCAAAAAGTGATTGTGGCCTATATCTTGTCACTGAAACAATATTTCTGCTTCAAACTTGCTGCATGTCATTCTGAAGGGTCCTATGTGACACATTATATCTCAAACAGTCCCTTAGAACTGCTGGATAACCTGTAAAGGAACATTAACTTTGATAATATGCCATTTTCAGCCTGCCAAAAAGTGATTGTGGCCTATATCTTGTTAATGAAATACTATTTCTGCTTCAAACTTGCTGCATGTCATTCTGAAGGGTCCTATGTGACACATTATATCCCAAACAGTCCCTTAGAACTGCTGAATAACCACTAAGGGAACGATAAAACTGATAATATGCAATTTCCAACCTGCCAAAAAGTGATTGCCGCCTATATCTTGTCACTGAAACAATATTTCTGCTTCAAAATTGTTGGATATCCTCCAGAAGGGTTACATGTGATATATTATATCCCAAACAGTCTCCAAGAACTGCTGAATAACTTTTCAAATAACATTAATACGATAATATGTCATTTTTGACCTGCCAAAAAGTGATTGTGGACTATAACTTGTCACTGAGATACTATTTCTGCTTCAAACTTGGTGGATGTCATTCAGAAGGGTCATATGTCAAATATTACATCTCAAACAGTCCCTCAGAACTGCTAAATTACCATTAAGGGAACAATAAAACTGACAATATGCAATTTTCAACCTGCCAAAAAGTGATTGTGGCCTATATCTTGTCACTGAAACAATATTTCTGCTTCAAACCTGTTGGGTATCATCCAAAAGGATGATATGTGGCACATCATATCCCAAACAGTCTCTAAGAAATGCTGAATAACTTTTAAAGGAACATTAACATTGCTAATATGCCATTTTCAGCCTGCCAAAAAGTGATTGCCACCTATATCTTGTCACTGAAACAATGTTTCTGCTTCAAAATTTTTGGATATTATCCAGAAGGGTTACATGTGACATATTATATCCCAAACACTCTCCAAGAACTGCTGAATAACTTTTAAAGGAACATTAACATTGATAATATGCCATTTTCAGCCTGCCAAAAAGTGATTGCCGCCTATATCTTGTCACTGAAATACTATTTCTGCTTCAAACTTGCTGCATGTCATTCAGATGGGTCATATGTCAAATATTATATCTCAAAGAGTCCCTTAGAACTGCTGAATAACTTGTAAAAGAACAATAACACTGATAATATGCAATATTCAAGCTGCCAAAAAGTGATTGTGGACTATAACTTGTCACTGAAACAATATTTCTGCTTCAAACTTGTTGGATATATTCCAGAAGGGTTACATGTGATATATTATATCTCAGCCCTGCAAGACCAAAAAAACCCCATTTGTTTGTGAAGCATGCTGGTCAGAGGGTCGCTGTCAATTTTTCAATGTTTTGGAAATGTTTCTTGTTTTGTATCGTTAGAATAGAATAGAATAGAATTCAACTTTATTGTCATTGCACATGCACAGGTACAGGGCAACGAAATGCAGTCTCCTATAATATTTATTGGTTGTTTATTTGTTTATTAATTCATTAATTTATGTTCGTGTTGCTGTGTGTGTTTCTGTGTTGTTCACAAGTTCAGCTTTGATTGCAATTTTTTTGTAGGATGATTCAATTATTTTGTGTTTCCTAACATGTTAGCATAGTTACTGTATGCAAAGAATTAATATATATGTTGTTCCATGGTTTACTGGTGTTGAGCTTCCGCTATACCCCCTGTTTCTGGTCTATTTGTTAGTTTATTTTAACTGGTGGTTTCTTCTTTAATTGGATGTAATTGTTATTTGTTTTTGGTTTTCATTTCAATTAATAAGTGCTGTATTGGAATGACATTTTTATTACCTGACATTTTGTTTTGTCTTTCCTATTACTTGGTGTTCCTAATGTGTTTAAGCAGATCTCCTCCCACCTGTTTCCATTTGGCCATTATCCTTTTTTTGTATTATTTTTGAATTACAATATTTTTGAAATTTGACGTTTTATGCACAGGTTGAAAATGACATATTATCAGTATTAATGTTCTTTTAAAAGTTATTCAGCAGCTCTTGGAGAGTGTTTGGGATATAATATATCACATGTAACCCTTCTGGAGGATATCCAACAATTTTGAAGCAGAAATATTGTTTCAGTGACAAGATATAGGCGGCAATCACTTTTTGGCAGGTTGGAAATTGCATATTATCAGTTTTATCGTTCCCTTAATGGTTATTCAGCAGTTCTAAGGGACTGTTTGGGATATAATGTGTCACATAGGACCCTTCAGAATGACATGCAGCAAGTTTGAAGCAGAAATAGTATTTCAGTGACAAGATATAGGCCACAATCACTTTTTGGCAGGTTGAAAATGACATATTATCGGTATTAATGTTATTTTAAAAGTTTTTCAGCAGTTCTTGGAGAGTGTTTGATATATAATATGTCACATAGGACCCTTCTGAATGACATCCACCAAGTTTGAAGCAGAAACATTGTTTCAGTGACAAGATATAGGCCACAATCACTTTTTGGCAGGCTGAAATGGCATATTGTCAGTTTTATTGTTCCCTTAATGGTAATTTAGAAGTTCTGAGGGACTGTTTGAGATGTAATATTTGACATATGACCCTTCTAAATGACATCCACCAAGTTTGAAGCAGAAATATTGTTTCAGTGACAAGTTATAGTCCACAATCACTTTTTGGCAGGTCAAAAATGACATATTATCGTATTAATGTTATTTGAAAAGTTATTCAGCAGTTCTTGGAGACTGTTTGGGATATAATATATCACATGTAACCCTTCTGGAGGATATCCAACAATTTTGAAGCAGAAATATTGTTTCAGTGACAAGATATAGGCGGCAATCACTTTTTGGCAGGTTGGAAATTGCATATTATCAGTTTTATCGTTCCCTTAATGGTTATTCAGCAGTTCTAAGGGACTGTTTGAGATATAATATGTCACATAGGACCCTTCAGAATGACATGCAGCAAGTTTGAAGCAGAAATAGTATTTCATTAACAAGATATAGGCCACAATCACTTTTTGGCAGGCTGAAAATGGCATATTATCAGTGTTATTGTTCCTGTACAAGTTATTCAGCAGTTCTTGGAGAGGTTTTGGGATACAATATATCACATGTAACCCTTCTGGAATATATCCAACAAGTTTGAAGCAGAAATATTGTTTCAGTGACAAGTTATAGGCCACAATCACTTTTTGGTAGCGCTAAAATGCCATGTTCTCAGTCGTTATTCTGCACAAACAAGAAAGAGTCATGGTGATACTGGCACAATAGGTCTTTATTGTTTTAACTACTATTCGACAGTCTTATAACAAATATGAACAACGAGAGTAGACATACTAAACCTGTGGGCATTAATTATTCCATCGTGATGCGTGTAGTCATTCGTGACTGCGCTACACACTGAAAGCAACCTTCTGATAGCGTCATAATTCGGTTACAAGAAACGTTAAAGCTCCATAAATGCATACCTTTGCCTAATAACAAAGGCATAAATGTGTTTGGGTTTTCCCCCCCACGTTATATCAGTTGCACGGAAGTAGCTGGCAACGCAAGTAATCCGGGCGCTGCAGCTTTAAGCAGCTGCGCGCGCTCCCGCGGACGGCAATCAGTTTCTGGCAGACAATCACTTTTTGGCACAACACCGGGATAGGCGCGAGAGAAAAAAAACCCCTTCCGGCCAGTCCTTTCAAAGTAAACTCCAAACCGATTGTCCGTCTTTTAACTGTTGTAGATGCCTTGCCAGTCTAAAATCTACGAAACATATGTCAGTCCCGTCTGAATGATGATGACGATAAAGCCGTTTAGACCCCCAAATCACGGACTTTTATACATCCTTTAATTATACCTTTAAAAATTAAAGATGTCATTTTAAAGATGACAAATTAAAAACGCCGAAAATCCCGGTGTGAAATTTAATTTACAATTTAATGCACAATTGTAACGGCGAATATGTAAAGCTATCTCATATTCACGTAATATGACATTTGTGCTTTTATTTTGGTAACTTTCTATGTGACCGGAAGTGAATGATGTAACGGTAAACAACTTGATGTGCAAAAGAGACGGAAGAAAACGGAAAACTAATGCTAACGGAGAAAAGGGAGAGAAGAATATAGTTAAATTGTACAAAAACGAATGGTTCTAGCTACAGTCGACAGGGGAACAAGGTTTGTAATGTATATGATTTAATTTGAGCAATCTGAAATGCATAATATGTATTATATAGTTTAATAGAAAACGGTTAGACCAGCGTAATGAGCGGTTAAGATGCTGTTACATGAATAATATGTTAATTGTTTTATTTGTTTGTCTAGCTCTTACGTTGGTTCGTTGTCTGATACACGGCAAGGAATAATAAAGGTCATTCAACAACCATCAGTTCTGGCCTTCTCAGTTCGACTGGATGCTACAACAATATTTAAACATTGCAATTTAAATGCATTAAGAATTTCATTCAGAAGAAGAAATAAAACACAGTGACAAAAACTCTTGTGAAACTATGAACTTTTATTGAAAAGTTCATACTATCTAAAAACATTTTTCAATCAGTCATAATACATAATTCTAGTAAACTACCACTAAATACTACCTTCCAAAACTTTTTCCATTGCCACCATGTACATATAAAAAGTGGCTTTTAGTTCACTTTTACATTAACTGCGCAGAATGGTGCCTTAGTTCAGGCTTAAAAGGCGGTTTGTTTTAATGCAAATCATTTTCTGTGTTAACATAAATCTTGCGGTTTGTGTTTGCAAGTATGTATTGCACATGTACAAGTGCTGTAGAAAAAAAAAGTTAATAAAAGTTTAAAAAGCACACACTGCAAATATATACAAATGTAAAAAGCAAATATTCTGCATGAAAAGACAATAGTGTGTGATGCAGGAAACCTTCTGAGGTAACCACTTCTACGGCATCTTACCAGAAAACAGACATTTTCATGCAAAACAACTCGAAAAATATCAGACATGGCTTATTATTGCAGATATCTGGATCATCTGGACAGGTTATTTTCATCTGCATAAATTAAAAAAAAAAAAGTCCAGATCGGCTTATATGAATAGTCTTGGCAGCAAATGCCACTTTGCTTGCTTGTTTTGTTCTTCATTTCATTGTGTCAGATGGGTGTAGCAGTGAGTCACGGGAAAAACAAAAAAGCAGGGGGAGTGATCCATGAAACGCCACAGTACCTGTAAACGGAGACAGAAAACATCATAAGGAAAGACAGAAAATAAGACATGCAAAACTGCACATGACAGGCTTTCATCTTATCATAGTTGTTTTTAAAGTGGTTTGAATTTTAAAATACATAAACCATTCCTTACTTTGAATTTTTGTACTTTTCTCTGATGCCCTGTAGTGGGCGACTCTCTGCGCTGGCGTATAGCTTGTACAGGTGAGTCAGGCAGGGAGAAATGTCAGCCATCGTGTATCCGCTAAAAGCCACTAAAGAATCGGGCTAAAGCAGAAAAACACAGGTTAAAAGTCACATTTTTTTCCTAATTTCTTAAGAAATTTCAATAAAATTAGATTAACCAAATAAAATATTAAACTTACCCATAAAGACGTATTTATGGTGTAGGAAGCTAGGCAGTAGGCTGCAGCAGCAACCATAGATGGGCTGTACTGTAGAAATGGATCCATTTCCAGCAGGCTTAACTCCGCCACATACTAGAAAGCAGAAATAAAAAAAAAATACAATAAATAAAAATAGAAAATCATATCCATATTCCTTAAAGGCATTTGGCCTGACTATTGTTAAATGGTTCAATTTACTCACCAGGGCCAGGTTTTTGGTGTTGGCACAGACAGACTGGATGGCCATGAAAAGGTGAAGGAACGAGTTTATGGTGGGTGCCGCCAAGTTGAAGCCCAGCACACTTAGAAATGCTTGCTCCATCCGAAGCAGCTGTTTCTTAGTGTAGGTGTTGTCTGTGATGGTCACAAATTGGTCGAGTTTAGGAGGTGACTTCTCCTCATATTTTCTAAAAAAAAAAAAAAGTAGCAGATCAGATGGCATGTTATATGTAAGGTTGACTATTAGCACAGACTATTAGCAAAAAAGAAAAGGGAAAAAAAAAGCATTGATCATTAGAAACAAACAGTGACTTACGCAGCAATCACCAAGGCAGCCGTGCCAACCAGCTGCAGCTTGCCTCGTTTCACATTTCCGATGAGGGAGAGAAATCGGTCCAAGTAATTGATAGCAAGATGAAGAGTTTCAGCTTGAAGTTGGAATTCCTGCGCCACCTCAGCCATCCAGTCCACCAGAACGACGCGCATATCATCCGTGATCTCTGGGTGTCTTTCTAAATACTTTGGCCTTGGCCTGAATGCAATCTGGAATCAGAAGCCAAAACATTATATAGTGAACTAAAGAACAACAAGTCACAATTACATTGCAATAAGGTTGAAAGAAATTATGGAGGTCACTGGGCAAATAAATAAATAAAAATAACCAAACATACAAACAAAAAAATTCAAACCTCATTATTCCTCAAGTGCTGGTGAATATCTCTGGCATACTCCACACAAAAAACCTCCTCAGATTCAGAAGGCGTAGAAGCATCCTGGCATGGACCTATAAAAGTAAAAAGTAATGAGCATTAAGGAAAGAGGAAAAAACAACAAGTTTTCTTGGTAGATTCTTTTTTAATCTGTCATACTCACTTGAACTCAGCTCCAGCATGATTACCATATCTTCACTGTGCAGGGCATTGGTTTCCTCATCTTGGTAATTACGGTGTCCGACAACTTCTTCGCCAGAAGCCGCAAGGACAACTTCGCAAGCCTCTTCCACGTACACATCAAAGCTGGAGCTGGAAGGGCAGCCCAGACAGTTGAGTTGAGAGCTTTCTGAGGTTGAGCTGTGTCTGGAAAACTGGCCACCCTGAAAATGATAATAACCCAACATGATGGCCTTGGTTCCTTAAAAAGAAGAGAGCTGGATTTCTTGCGTGATGTTTCCCTTCTCCTCCACGAGTCTTGTTCAGTTTTGAAATAACAGAGGAGAGAACTTCCAGATATATAAACCCCCAGTGGGACTTGGTCCTGAGAGTCGCTGACCTACTATTGGGTCGACACATGAGTGAAGGTATGAAAAAGGGGCGTTGATCATTACTGAGAATGGGGACAAAGGGTGAAGCCTCTATCTACCATTGTCCCATTCATCATCGTTTGATTTGTTAAAATTATCTGAGGCAACTTGATTGGCAGCTGAAACTCCTGAGAAAGCTTCCCAAGTCGTCAACCACCACCCGTTTTCAACGATGGTCGTTCACAGTGGACAAAGGCAAGGCAAGGCAAGGCAAGTTTATTTGTATAGCACAATTCAACAACAAGGTGATTCAAAGTGCTTTACAGAGACATTAGAAACAAGAACAAATAAAAAGCATGATTTAAAATTGATTAAAACAAGCAAATAAACTAACTAACTAATTAACAAACAAACAAAACAGTATATAAAATCAAAACAGATAAAATCAGAACAGTAGATAAAATCAGTAGTTAAATGTAAGTTTTGAAATTTAAGCTTAAAGTGTGGATTTGGTGCTTTATTCAAATGCAGCTGAGAACAGGTGAGTCTTCAACCTGGATTTAAATAAACTGAGTGTTTCAGCTGATCTGAGGCTTTCTGGGAGTTTGTTCCAGATATAAGGAGCATAAAAGCTGAATGCAGCTTCTCCGTGTCTGGTTCTGACTCTGGGAACTGATAAAAGACCGGATCCAGATGACCTGAGGGATCTGGAAGGTTCATACTGGGTCAGGAGGTCATTGATGTATTTTGGTCCTAAACCATTCAGAGCTTTATAGGCCAGCATCAGAACTTTAAAGTCTATCCTCTGACGGACAGGCAGCCAGTGTAAGGACCTCAGAGCTGGACTGATGTGGTCCACTTTTTTGGTCTTAGTGAGGACTCGAGCAGCAGAGTTCTGAATGAGCTGTAGTTGTCTGACTGATTTTTTAGGTAGACCTGTAAAGATGCTGTTACAGTAATCAAGCCTACTAAAAATGAATGCATGGACTAGTTTTTCCAGGTCCTGTTGAGACATCAGATCTTTTATCCTTGATATATTCTTGAGGTGATAGTAAGCTGACTTTGTTATTGTCTTAATGTGTTTTTCTAAGTTTAGGTCTGCATCCATCACTACACCCAAATTTCTCGCCTGGTTTGTGGTTTTTAGATGTATAGATTGAAGTTCTCTGGTGACCTGTAATCGTTTTTCTTTGGCGCCAAAGACTAAGGCCTCCTTTACACCTTTCTCAAACCGTCTGTTTTCTCAGTCCAGACATTGTGAACATTAGCGAGAGTTTCCTTTCTCCTTTGATCAATCTAGTGGAGTCTTGTGTTGCACTGGCACTGATCAAAGCTTTTATTCATGCAGTGCTTAACAAATTTATCCGACCAACTCCTAGTGTAAGGTTTATTACTCATCCACCCTAAATCAGCAGTATTGATAATAACCAAAAACACTTTTCTAATTCATTTCTAGTCTTAATTTTTATTTTTATTTCATTTTAACCTTTTGCTTCAAGTCAAATGTTTCAGTCTTAGTTTTAGTTGTTAGTTGTTAGTAATTCACTTTATTATGGTGGGCACATACCAGAGACAAGATTTAAGGACATCAGTAAATACATTACAATAACGACCCATTACCTTTTGAAAGCAGTTGACACAGTCATCCACAGTCTCAATAAACACAACTATCAAAGCCTCATGAGGCAATTTCTGATAAAAAAAAACAAAACACTATTTATTATTATTTATTTTATTTAGTTTTCCAAGTTCACAAAGTAATTTAACTTTTTTTCAAAGGTCTGCTTTTTAGTTTTTTGTGTCTAGTTTTAATTTTCAGTTTAGATTTAACAACCTTGGTTTCTGTAATATTAATCTACCAATACGCATAAGCTCTTTAATCAGAATGACAATTTTAAGTATAAAATATAATTATTACTGTTATTTTGGTGAACAGTTCATTTTCAATTTTACTGTTTTACAAAAAAGCAGGAAAATGATGTGATTACGAAGCCAAACTAAAATTATTTACTTGCATTCCTGAACAGAAAAATCCATTTTAGATGTTAAATCTTATGCTTGATTAATTTCTGGCTTCTCAGACAAGACCAGTATGTTGGTAAATACAGTAATTGCTAGTTTTAAAAAGGTTTTGAGGTATTTCTAAAATATTTAATTTTTCTTGTTTTTATGGTGTAATAAATTTGCTGTACCTGGCTCATGTGACAATAGTAGCTCAGTGACCTTCGGGATGACATCCAATGGCACAATCTCCATTAGAGGTTGAATATCAAATGAAGAAGCCTCTTAAATGAAAGCTGAAACATTTACTTTGTCCTAGATGACTGAGAACCAACATAGACAAGCTAACATGATTGTCACGTTAACAGTGGTGGGGAGTGTTTTTTCTCTGTCACCTACCTGGCTGAGGGATCGACCTCGCAGTTCATTTTCTGACAAGACTCCGAGCACCGTCCGCTGTTTGGACCTCTGCAGTGTATCTACTCTGGCTGAGGGTGCCATATTTTCTTTGCTGGCTCGACTGCGTTGACTTTTGCTAAAGTTCATCTTTAAACAAAGACATTGGAAAAGAACAAGTAAAAAATATGATTTTTTTTATCCAGAAAGATTATAATGATTATCAGGTCTCTGTCAATTTCCTGTATACATTGGCAAACACAGCAAGCAAGTATGAAGACTTTACTTTCAGAGTAAAAATGCTTTAAAGCAGTATAGCAGCCAAACAGGATTGCAAGTGACTGATTTTAAGTTAGAGAAATGTTGGAAAACACATTACAGGTTTCGCAGCGCTAAAGTGGATGAAGTTGTTTGTTTTTTATAATAAAACTATCACATAGAAAATATCATATAAGGGAGATCAACTACAGTTTTAGTCAGAAGTTTATACGCATTCATCATGTGCATCAAAGTCATGGTCACTTTGGGCTTTTAATTATCACTTTCAACTGCTCTTTTAACAGGGTGCAATATTTGTACAGCATCTTTAATAGCTTTCTATAATTCTCACAGGCTCAAAAGTACACACACAGGCTTTAAAATATACATACACACCCCACTAACCCTATGGTATAAGTTTCTCTTTGGTTAAATGTCTCTTAGCATGTTGTGGCTCAACCACATGCTTTTGGTAGCCATCAACGAGTTTCTGGCATAATTCTGGGTAGATCTCTTCTTGACAGAATTGGCAGGGTTCATATTTAAACTAGGGTGGACATGTGTCACAGATTATCAGTCGTGTTGAGGTCAGGGCTTTGGGAAGGCCATTCCAGAAGCTTAATTTTAGCCTGCTTTATCCATTACAAAACCAGTTTTGTGTTTGGGATCACAGTTCACACCCGACTGTGTCCAAGCTTCAGCCATCTAACTGTTGTTTTGATGTGAAGTTGATGAATTACATATCATTATTCCTTACTACATTTACTTGTCATTGAGGCCAAATAGCTTAATCTTTGTCTATGATTACGTGGATAAGCTCGAGTCGTTAGCCAACACCCGTTTTGAACGATGGTCGTTCACAGATGGGGGCTTTGGTTTCCTTTACTGCTTTCTCAAACCGTCTGTCTTCTCTGGCCCAGAATGTAAACCCTGCCAAGAGTGTCCTTCCCTCTTTGAGTCATGATCAACATAGCCAAGTCTTTTTCTGATGAGATGACGTGCCTCTGGAGTGTAATGATTAAAGCTTTTATTCCTATATTGCTTAACAAATTTATCAGACCCCCTCCCAATGTAAGGGTTGTTCCTAAACCCCTCTGGCCATAAAACATTTCTCCAACAGGAATTTGGGTCATCCATGTATGCACTTTCAAATTTCAGATGAGCACGAAGGTGAAAGTTTGTGTCTTCTTCCAGACTTCAGGCACATCTGAATAACTTGTACTTATATAGTCTAGTTTGAATTGATGATCTTGGAATCTGCAGGTTTCTAGAAATTGTTTAGCGACGTTCCCAACTTCTGTAACTCTACGATTCTCCTTCTTAGATCTTCACTGAGTTTCTTAGACGTCCCTATTGTTCTGAGCATTGGTCAATCCAATGAGTGCTGTCAAACAAATCTTTTTTGTCCTGGCAAATGAAAATAACAGTTGTAGTCGACCATAATCACTAATAATGAGTTAACACTCCTTGGCCTTTTCAAGACTTTGTACAACTTTTTGACCACTTATAAAAAGATTTAAGTGAATGCATGTATTTGAGCCCGTATGTATAATTGTGACCCTGTGTGGATTAGAGAAAAGTCAATTCAAACTTCTGACCACAGCTGAATGTCCTTTTAGTTTCTCCAATGTAGAATATAGTTACTGTTTGTGTCCCTGCTGGCATCATGGGTGGAATTTCTATATAAAATTTGTACTGTTCCCTTTTTTAAAGCTCTACTGATTCTAGTTTGTCACAGATTTCCAGCTCATTTTGACTCCAATCACTCTCCACCTCCTGTTTTTCTAAAAACAGGAGATGGAGCATGTATGGCAGGGATGATGCTCAGTGTTGTGCTGCATATACTATAATTAAAACTGCTTTTACTGAAACTGTTTGGTTGAAGATGGCAAAACCCAAAATTAGCAGGGCATTCATGTCATTGATAAGTAAATGTAAACTTCTAACCACAACTGTAGCTATCAAATACAAGAGGCAGGGACCGGTGAAGCTACGTGAAAAAAAAAAAATGCATGGATTGATCAGTTTACTATTACTAAAAACTGCTGGTATTAAATGAGTTAAACAACTAAAAGTTGAAAAGTGAATCTTTCAGCTCTGCAAGTAAAAATACACAAAAAAAATGGTAAAAGAGAGAAAAGTCATAGGTCATCTTAAATCTACACCAACTGAGGTCATAGCAACAAAAAAACTGTTTGCAAAAGTGTTACACCGTGTATTCCTGAGCATGTCCTTTTTCAATACTACAGTGAGAGAGAAGGGGTTTGTAACTCTTACAAATGACATCTTGATGTCATTTTTACTCACTTTGGCAAGGACTGCCTAAAGCTAGTGCGTGAGTAAGATGGCGGATCACAGGAACCGAGATTCAGTCGCGGATTGCAGAAAAATTACGAGTCTAAATCTATAAATGAAATCCTCTGTTAAGGGTCTCCAAGCTTCAAAAATCATAGAGTCACCTGCTAAACAAACAGGTGAGACAGTTTTGTTTTGTTTTTACCATTAATGTACTAAAAATCAGAGGAAAAGCAGATCCAATAAAGACTTTGAGATAAGTAAACTCTTCAAAATGTATCTGAATTTAAAGTATGAGATCAGGCAGTAAAGGAAATTTGATCTACTTTTGATCTAATAATCAGAAGTTGTGTGTCACAAACATCAACACACTATGTAGACAAATATGGCATAAACATGGGCGTGCCATAAGTTCCCCAGTTTCACCCAGAATGTCTACTTTGCATATGGAGGAAGTGAAAGAAGGGGTCTATTATCCTGTTCTGAAATACCACTGAGCCATATAAATATATCAGGACACAGTTCGCTAATTACATTAACTCATGGTCATTGATTAGTGGTCATGACAACTGTATACAGTCATAAAACTGAACTCACAGCCCATCGTTAGTCAGTGCATGCGCTGTTTAGAAGGGTGGGAAAACCTGGAGTCAGCTAAGACTGAAGAAGTCATTCGGATGAGTGGTGAAAAGTTTCTCCCACTGAAAATGCGACGCCCAGATGAACAGAATCAACTTTCTGTGACTTCAGAAGCATAATCCACTATTAGGATGTTAAAAAGTATAAAAGTTCCCATTCACTAAGCGTGTGAACACAGTGTCTTTTCAGTAATTCTATTTTTTAAAAAGGCATGTTTTTAATCTTTCAGTAAGGAAAGATTAGTATGCATTGTTTTCATATTTTCTAAAAATGAAATAAAGAATCATTTACAGTGGTGTGAAAAGTCCTGAGCCACCCTTCCTTTCTTTATATTTTAGAAAAATTTAAAAAAAGAAGGTTTTTTGGAGGACAGATTTATTGAAATGTGCAAACATACATGCAAATGCAGGATACATTTCAAAATTTTCGACTGAAAATTCTTCGCCAAAAAAAGCAGTTAGAATAAATTATGATGTTTTTGTGTCGGCCTTTTTAAGTATGATATTAAAAATTGTTTATTTGCTAAGTTGTTGTAGATGCAACATTGATATATTATTTTTAAGCTTTAATCATTCGTGTCAGTGTTAAGTGCCTTATCAAACAAACAAATAAATAAAAGAAACCCGAAGAAAACAAAAATATTACTCGGACCGGACAGAAAATGGGTGGAAAAAAAACACTGTGAAAGCTCTTTAGAAAGCCTGGAGAGCTACTGCTCAAGACCACTTAAAAAATACAAGACAGTCTGGATCATTGGAGGAAAAATATCCAGGAATCAGGGGTGACTCAGGACCTGCACGGCACTATGAATATTCCCGGTGCAATTATGGTCTCACATTGCCATGGTTACTAAAAATTAGCAGAAGGAATCAGTCAGAAAAAAATCAAGGAAAACAGGATGTTGCACTGTGAAAACACAGTGCATCACCCCGATGTATCACAGACCACTGCCAGCTCATGGTTACATGTACTTTTTAGTGTATTTGTTCCTAACTGTAAACTCACCATGATCAGGATCAGTGCAGTTAGCAGTTTAGCGTTTCAGCGTCACCACCACCGACCAAGTCGGACAATCGACAGCTGCCCCTGACTTGGTTGTTAATAATCTGTACCAACAGCGCCCTCTGGATCTCTTCGCGTGACTTGAAGCAGGTTTCTAGGTGTAGCAGGGTTTTTTTTACTTTCTTTCGGCGATGTTTGCCTCGAAAATCAGCTATTTCCTCCTGAGTCTCTGTCCAATCACGTGGCAGAACGCAACCGCCGACGGTCAACGTCACATGGGTTACTGGATTTATCCGCTCAATATTTTCCCGTGATTGATTAGTTTTATTTGAACTCTTCACAACTTCGACTCTACATATTATAGATCAATCTTAACTGATGCCCTGAGGCGAGAAAAATGAGTTGTGTTCGGTCAGTGTGTTTTATTAAATCTACAGGTGCTGCAGGGGCTGTAGGAGAATTATTGAACAGGAAGGCTGCCTGCATGTATAAGTTATTAATACTCTTCGCCATACTCCACATATAAATAGTCTTTGCCAAAAAAGGGAAAAGAAGAAAAAGAAAAGATTATTTCTGTGAATCGTAGAGGACTTTATCATTTTATAACATGCTGAAAAAACTGCTTGACAGAGAATCTCACTTGGCCTTTTTCCCTCTTCTGCTTTATGAATAATGTTAAATATTATTTTTAAATTCACTTTCTTACCATATTCGTCATCTATAAAGTTGTGGGTGTTACAAAAATATACACACTGATTAACCCTAACTTTTGTAAAGTTTTGAGTACAAAATCTATTTACCTACTTTTATTTTCACAACTATAAATATAAATATTATATTATATTATAAATAATATTAACGTTGTGTCTTCTCTCACTCACGTGCTAAAACATGGGAAACCTGGTAATGGATGGAGGAACAATGTGACAGCAGAAAGTAAAGATGACATTTATCTGGGTCACTGTTTAAATCTGCTGACTCCATCAAGCAGCATTTGGTGAAACACCTGAAGCTGTACAGGCCTGATTACACAACCATGTGTGGTCAGAAGTTTACTTTCAGTCATCATGGACATGGATGTCATAGCAATTTGTGGGATTTTGATGATTTCTTTCAATTTCTCAATCAGATGCTTTTAGAAGCCATCATAAGGAGATGTAGGACTGTAGGACTGGATTCTCTCATACATCACATCAATGCACATGCACTCTAATAATAATAACATGATGTACCTCATTACTATACCTCAGTAACCTGTTTACTCCACTGTAAACTGTTACTTTGCACACTGTTTATTTGCACAGTTTTTTATAATTTCTTCAATTTGTTTATTGCACATTTTATTTTAAAATGTAACTTTCATTCTTAGTTCAAACTTTACTTCTTAGGTTAAATTCTTAATTTATTCTTTACATATTATTCTTTACAAGCTTACTTCAATGTTTTGTTTTGTTTTATCTATTATGCAACTCTTATATCCGTTTTCCTGTAAATGTTTCCTGTAGTTTTATGGTCGGGCATTGCAGAGCAACAAGCATTTCACTGCATGTCGTACTGTGTATGATTGTGAATGTGACAAATAAAATTTGAAATGTGAAATTTGAACTTTCATGGCAGAATTGACTGAGTTCATTTAAATGGGTTGATTTTCTGGCACTGAGCCATCTTTTAAGCTGTAGTCAATAAAGATCCATAAGTAGAAGACAAGTTATCATGTTAAAAGACTTTTGTAGAACCTTCAGCACCACGTCTTGATGCAGGCTCAATCATGCAGGTAAGGAAGTCACAGAAAGTTGATTTTGTTCATCTTGATGTAGCGTTTTCAGTGGGAGAAATGTTTCCTTACTCAGGTTTCCTGAAGGCTTCCCCAAACCTATAAACAGTACCTCTGCACAATGACTGAAACTAGCACCTCTGGTGAACAATGGGCTGTGAGGTCAGTTCTTTGATCATTAATATGCAAATTGTCATGACCATTGATCAACAGCCACTGATCAAAGACAAGCAGCAATGCAAATAATATCTTTTACATTTTTAAGATGACACATTGTCGGAGTCACAACTGATCCATTATTAGATAACTACACCAAAAAAACAAAAACAAACAAGCAGAAAACAAAGCGGAAACATTCATATCCAAACATTAAAATGTATTCCAAGAAGCTATAAATTGCTAGAAGCTAAAAAATACCTTTATGTAATGTGCCCCTGAACAGGGAGTTTCCATGTACATAAGTATAAACACAAAAATGTGTAGTCAGTGGATTCACAGAGAATGAATGATCTTTATTGAAGCCTGTGTGTGTTTTGCCTGAGAAAAATGAGTGCACATTTTGTGTAGTCCATCAGGTGGCAGGCTTTCTCTTCAGTCATGGTGCAAGGAAATAATAATAATAAGATTTGAATAAAATTCTAAGCATATGACACTGTGACCCTGTTAAATTTAATTTAGCAAAAAAGCCCTGAACTTTTGCCCACTCGGGAAAGGAGGTGATGCAAATTGAGGAAATGTTCAGCTAATTAAAATTCCAAAGTGTCTCAAAGTCTATGTCTTTCTTTGGCAACAGACCTTGTGGAATAATCTTGAGTTGTTGTTTTTATTAGTGTTATTTAGTCACAGCAGGAACTACAGGTATAGAGGTATTTAGGAAGCAGTCATGCTGCTGCTGAGTTTAGAAATTCCCACTTTTAGCCTTTCGGTCACAAGGATGCTTCTTTAGCCTCGAGTCAATCATTGCTCTTAATATGTTCTGACACTAGTCTTTGATGTAAGGGTCCTTCGCTTGTAGCCGACTGTGCCTTTTTACGGGCACATTACCAAACCTTCCACCTTTAAACAGAGTCCACAGTGTCTCAAAACGACCCTTTTTAGATATGTTTTCCTCATACATATAACAATATATTCATGTATTTAAAATTCATGTTTGATGATTTGGATTTAAACAGTGTTTTCATGCCACAGCAGAGGAAGGAGCATCTTTCTTCCACTGTTATTGGTCATTTTTAAACTCAGCTGTGTATTCTTTTCCTCCAAAGTAATGTAATGTAAATTGATACGTTAAAATTTGAATCATCCGTCATCTGTTGAATCAGTGTGTGGGAGAAACAAACACAAACAGGAGGATGTTACGTCGAGGGAGAGCAGTAATTTTCTTTCTAACAGGAAAAATGCTTTTGGAACTTTGTTCTACCAAAGACCTGATAATATATCCTTGCCTATTTTATACAGTAGGCATGGGGGATAAGGTTTCCTGATGTGGTTATTTTCTTCTGTTAAAATAAAATCAATATCTGCACAGGCACCAGCTCATGGGACACAAAGTCTGTCCGTCTTCCTCTGTTTTCTTAATCTCTCATTCTCATTTCCGTTCATTCCCTAAGCAGATGCAGATTGCCCGTGACAGATAGCATAGGGCTGGTACCATTTCATTAGTGGGATGCATTGCCAGTGAAAGGCTTGGATGCATCAGATGTGCTGGGGGTTTGAGCAGGACAGTCCAGGAGACACCAAGCTGAGGACGAGTTTCATATCTCTAGGAGGCCTTTGGTCCAGAGGTGTTACAGTGCTGAGAGGGACCAGAGCTGAGACTGTCTCCCATCCTGAGCACAGAAAAGTTCAAAAATAGAAGCAAGGATGATGAAAGTTGCCACTAACTTGAAGGATAAGGAGATGAAAAGGCATCCCCAATCTGCTGAGGATTATTCTTGCTGGACAGATATTTTCAAATTCACTGGTTTTTGCAAGAAGAAAAAAGATTTAATTGGTCATGAATGTATCATCAGAGTCCAGTGAATCATCCCAGTGATGGCACATTTAGAGGATGGCAAACTGGAATGTAGTCAGATATATCTTCTTACAGTTGCCTTTTACCTTTTGTCATTTTCATGCTACAGCTGCTCAAAGAAGAGGAAATATTATGTAGCTAACCTACACTGGCAGCTCAGCCTGATTAAGCTTATCCCAATCCCTATTCCCACAAGCCCATTGTATGGCGTTGTCTCTGCAGCCTATCTGCACACGCAAACACCACACAGAAGAGGTCTTTAACTCTAGCATTGCTTTGTTAGTTGCTGCCAACACAGGCCTCGTGTGGGGTTGAAAACTGATCAGCAGCAGTGACTGGCTCTTAAAGAAGGCAATCAGTGCTTTAATAAGCACATTTTCAAATCAGAGAACTCCAAAGAGGACAAATCATCTGTGCCAAACTGAAGAAAACTGCAGGACGGAGTCTAAGTGCTCGCAGGAGATGCCAACAACCTACATTAAATATGATGACTACAATCTTCCTCCCTTGTCTCTTAACTAAAGGTCATATTGTTTCCCACCGTCCACCCACTCTATTTATTGTTTACTTATAAGCTGTCATGTAGATTTAAGGACTTTTTAATCAGGGATATGATGCGGAAGCTTGGTGCCAGTCTGATTCATTAAGAGGTCCATCACTGCAGTAAACCAGAGGCATGAAAGGAAAATTAGCACAGAGAGCAGGGGTGTGCTATTGTCTGTTTCTTATAATGGCAGGATAATTATGTTGCTTAAATCAGGATGCCGTATAACACACACACACACACAGGCTGTTCAGTTTATAACCCCAGGGCTACACTTTATATCACGGCGTGCCACAATAACAAACCTTTGACAAAAACTTTGTTTACTGCTTTTTTCTTCTTTTTTTTTTCCTTTTCATTAATTAAAAAAATGAGAGGAAAACATAAAGGAGGAGAGAGCAGAACAGAAAACAAAGTCAACCACTTGATATTCACAGCAAAGACAAAACATTTCAGTAATCACGCTGAAAGACAAAGTGCCGCGTTTTGTCCTTGTATCCCCAGTACCTTCTGCGGACTGCTCGTACATCAAATGTCTCCCAGTCAGAGCTGTGGGACATATGAATTATGAATGTCTGAGTAAGAGACTAAGGGCTTCTATTTTTTTTTTTTTTTTTTGCAATTTAAGGGCCTCAAATCTTTTGGTGCAGTAAATTATTCATATATTCAAATGAATCTGACTTTGAGGATGTTTTTCTTTCTTCTCCTGTTTCATGAATTTAGAGTGTACCCTGCAGAAGGAGAGCGCCAAAAAATTGCAAAGTGCTATTAATGGTGAAGTTTGGAGTAGGATGGTGCCTCGGTCGGCTGTCGGACTTTTGAGCTTACGCTTGTGCTCTTGTGGTCGAGCTGCCCGCACTGCTAGGGGGTGGTTTGAGACAGCCCCAGTATCACATTGCTATCTCTCATTGTT